TAGGTGGCTTCGGATATATGTGGGTTTAGGGTCAACCCCCCCCGCAAAGGGGGCCTGAAGTAGCCATGATTATGGGTGATGCGCACATAGGCCATATATGCCTCATCTCTAGTATAAGAGCCCTATACTGCTTTACAGTGTATGTAAAAAGGATCATGGTGGCTACTAAACTCCGAGCTCCCGAGACTCCAACTCTAGAACACTAGCAGAGAGTCGGGTTTGGGGGTATCCTTGGGGGGATTTTATAGTATAGACATATCGGGACTAGCAAGAGACACCACCGTGTACTAGTTAAGCAAATCCGGCAGGTATAGTAGCTCAGAAGTGTCTTGCGCGGTCTAGCTTTGGATCTGTCGGGACCAGGGTCCGTCTGTCGGGGTCTTAATGCAAGGGTTTCGGGTTCCCGAAGCCTCGGACTCAAAGGCCTAAGCCCACAACGCCTTAGCCTCTAAACTACATTATCTCAATCTGCTTCGTGTCGATTTAATTCTCCGGATCGACTTGGCAGGAGATCTGTTCGGAACGAGCCGGACGAGTTTCACCAGGGTTGGGGGGGGGGCCTGACCTCCGAGCATGGGCTGCAGGCTCAGGGTCCCTGGGGCCTTTGGGTTTGGAGTTCAGGTCCGGGTTCTTATCGTCGCAAGTTTGGCACAATGGCCAAACCCCAAACAACACCAAGCTTTAAACCCCAAACAGAACTTACAAAGAGCACTCCTGAACCGTGCAAACCCTAAACGGCCGTTTCAACGCAATCCGAACTCCGTGAAGCCTGATGGCCTGAGGCAGAGATAATACCCGGAACGTGTCCCTATCGAATTCTGCGATTAGATGCCCGGCCAAAAAATTCTCCTTGTCCAGACCCCACAGGAAGCTCGGGAAACCAAGACTGAATACGAGACTTTCACAAAAATTCGAGCTTCGCACGGCAAAGGGCGGTTCCTCAGTGGAGTCAGACTAGAGTTTTGGGTTTTGCGCTTCATGAGTCTCGAGGTTTTGTCTTGTAGGGTTTGGGGCTTTTACTTCGGATGTTGGGGGTATGGGGGCGGCTTTACCACCATCATTAATACTAAACCCCACACCCTGCACCCGAAGCCAGGGGTGCAGATACCTCACTATGCAAGCAAGGTCTCTGGATCCACATGAACCCTGAAGATTTCATACGAACGAAATAGAAGTCTGAATATGGCTTGCCAGAATAGACTGTACTAGTATCAAGAAGTACTTTAGTAACTTAAAGTGGGCTCTTGGTCATTTCCGGTACAGTTATGGCAACCATGAAGCTAAAGTTACCATTAGGTGCCCATGAACTGTCAGGCCTAGCCACGAATGGTTCCTTTGTTCTGCAGTGTTTCGGAATGTTTCGAGTTTAGTGCTTCTGGTACGTTACACGACAACTGCAACATAGAGGGAGGGCTAGCTACAAAATGGGATGCACCAAAACTTAGCATGCGACGGTGGAAGAAGCTGTTGCTCTTGCGCTCTGATAAAGGCTGTGCATGCGCCAGGCCTCTGGACAGGTCCTCAGATTGTCCTCAAGTACCATGTCATATGTCTGACCGGGCCTTATGCAAGCTCAAGTTTGTACTCGTCTTGCGGGTGGTTCTCTGGTCTCTTAATTCCGCTCATTTTCGATTCTAGCCCACCAGCATAGAACTTAGGGCGCCACTTTTGTAACCAGCCAGACTAGTTTAGAGTCGCCCCCCTCCCCCCCTCAACGAAAAACCACAGGCTGGGGCATGACTCAAGACAGAGCAAGCTGGTCAATTTAAGTGCGCCGCTGCTTGATCTTCTTGGCCAGCTTGATCTTCAACGTGTACGTCTTGACCTGGTCTAATTCTACCATAGAAATGCGCCTGATGTAGGGACGATAGGCCTAGTTGCTGAGTCCGTTGGCCCTGAGAGGTTAACCTGTTTTGGTTGTCCTAGGCAAGGATTGCCTAAAGCACTCCAAAGCCGAACAAATTAACTCAGCATCCCTCCACGCTAAAAGCGTCAACAATTGAAACCTGGACGCTCAAAGCAACATCTCAAACCTTCATATCTGAACCCGTATACAGGACTCGTATAGAATCCTTCTCAAGAAAAATAGCTAACCCTTGAAGAAGCCTTCTAGAACATCTAAAGGACCCACTGCAGTGTAATTTCAACCCCGTCGCTCATTGTTGCTTTCTTTATGGTGTACGGCTTAATTTGTGGTTTCCGGGTTGAGGTTCAGCAACGTTTAACGTTTGGGTTCAGGGCTTTTCCGAAACCCAGTCAGAACTTGACGAAGCTGCCATCACGAGTTGAGGATGCCTGGGCCGTTTGATCACCCCTGTAGTTGACGAAGCCTCTATCAGTTCAACGGACTATATAGCACAGAAGAGCCAATAAACCGCAAAGCCCACTCAAATCCCAGGACATCTGCTGCAAGTTGTTGCTTGCAGACATGATTTAGGTTAGTCGCGTGCCATGGAAATATTATTCTCGTGCTGGGCTAGGGCTTTAATTTGAAGACCATGTAACCTATAGGTAGTAAGTGCACAAGGAGTCCCTACCAGCATCATCACCCCCCGCACCCAGGTCCGGTGGCAAGGACCCTGAAGTAGCTGTATAGAAAGACATTTCACTACGACCTACTAGTAGGGGAAGTGACGAAGCGCATGGCATGCTGAGGAACCCACTGTAAAATTCAAGGCCTCCCAATGATATTCTCTACGGATCCCTGGAAACGAAGCTTATAATTTCAAGAGCATGCGCACTGTATTTCCGAAACCTTGCTGTGCTTGCTTCGTGGCCATAAAACTTATGGATCCCGAAAGCGAGAGAACAGCCGCAATGAAAGGATTTCCGGGAGGGCCCGGCCAGACCAAGCTGAAACGGAACACTATGAATCCTTAAACGCTGCTTTTGGGAGTGTCTGAGCAGACTGAGCTGTGCACAGCTCCCATGTCTGAAGCCTCGGCCAGGTTCTTGCTCCATGGATGTGCGTGATGTGTAGGGTTCAGGCACGTTCAGGGTTTAGTCTACAAGGTTCAGAATGTACGGCTTCGGCCAGCATATTCAAGATCCGTGCAGGCTTTAAGCTAGGATACTTGTCCCAGGGCTGTTCCCTCATGTAGCACCTTTTCTGGCAATTGGATCTTGCACAGGACTTTCAAGACCTACCTGGGATTATAGGCAGGCAGTTTAGGTGGAACCCAGAAAATCCAATCACTTCTTCGAGGGCCGCCTGCCAAGGAACAGCTGACATCATTTCTCTTGTTTGGCTGCCTGTCACGGTTGGGGCAAGATAGAGCGATGTGGTGAAAGCCGTGGGTTTGGGCGGATTCGAAATTTAGCAGTTAGGCTTTCGCACTAACCTTCATGGCTTCGGCAGTCAGCGTTTCCATCATTCAAGCAAGTCCAGCATAATTTAGTCTAAGTGGAAAACGAAGCCTGAATCAACCATCATGAGCCAGCAGTTCCTTACATAGTCTCTAAGAAGCCGAACCCTTCTCACGGCCACAAAAGGTTCCCCAAACCCCGAAACACCGCAAATGCCGGTCTCCCTGACAGCCCTGACGGCCTCACACTACCTGACGTTGAACATGGAAAAATGTTTTAAATCCTGAACGAAGCACAAAACCCTTGAACACCAAAACCCTGAACCCTGCAACCCTCAACACTCCCCGAAGGGTCCATGAAGATCCTACATGAGCGCACGGGTCCCTAGCACAAGGGATCCTTTCAGCCCTACGATCCCCAAAAAGGACCATCCCTTGGCATCCCACTGGAAAACTTCCTCCTGGGTGTGGTGTGTCTGCGTCTGGGCCCGTGCTGCGGAACGGCGGCAACTTCGACACCAAGTCAAGGGCGTAATGTACGGGCCTTTATAACTAGAATAGGAGATTGGGGCTCCCTATTGCAATTATAGTAGACTATCCCCCGCAAACCCTATTCTAATGATTAAGGTCCCTACATTATAGGTTTGTATTCTACAGTGTCGCTCGCTATTCCAAAGCCCCTACAAAGAACTACCTTAAACTCTGAACCCTACAATTTTGCGGGAAAGGCCCAGGGAACTCTATACTGGGGCTTCGTAGAAAGACTCCACGAAGCAGTAGGAGCTCGTAGGCTTAGGAGAACTTGGCAATGAGTGTTTGAAGCTATACCCTGATAGGGCTGTGGGTTGAAAGTTTAGGGCTATGCTATGCTAGTGTGGAATAAGGATGTGCATGGTTTCAATTGGGGAGAACAGGGAGTAGAGAGCAATCACATGCTGGAGTTTACCGCTTGAAGGTTCCGGACCTGTAGAGCTTAGATTTTTGGACCGTATAAGTCTCGAAGAATGTCGATGGTCTTTTTGCCGGTGCACCCTCCCTCGAAATCTAACCCGACTTGACAATGGGGTCTCGAGCAACTCTTTCGATAATGGGCTTTAAGTTGATTCCAGACAGGGTACTTACTCTGTGCCCTTCGGCCAATAATTGTGACACAGCTTTGAACGGTGTAGGGCTTCAGAGAATCGCTCCGGGGTTTAGCGTCCGGGCTTTCAATAGTAAAGAGTTATTCTGCGACCCTTGAATATGTAGGGCGCAGGCTCCAAAAGCCCTGAGCCACACCCCGAACCTTTATACCCGAACCCATGTGAAGCACGGTTTCGAGGGTTAGATGGCAAAGAAAACCTGTAGACGCCCACCACCTGGATTCTTTCTTTAACTTCGCAGCGATGTGTCGACCGAGAACTGGCTTGGAAAAGTGCGGAATTGGCGCAGCTCGGGCACAGGCCTACAGACCCTGAACCTCAGGTTACTCCTGCCTGTTCGATATGGATATGGGCAACACTGATATCGTTTTTGAAGGTTCCCTTAAAATGGTTCTTGTAAGGCTTTGTAAGTCTACAATTAAGTCAGTGTTCCACAATGTTCCTCTCGGGTGCGTGTCATACAGGCTTCTGTAATGTGTAGCGGCCTGAACCAATATTCCATAAACCCCCCAAGTTCTAAAACTGAAGCCTGAAACCCACACCACGCCACTCACTATGCTGCTGCAGAGGAGGCCACAGCCTCCTTCAGGTACGCCGCCGTCCTCTTCGAGGCTGCTTACAAGGATTTGCTGCTTTGAGGATATGTAATGAGTCTACACTCTAAGAGAAACCGAAACGCCGTAGGTTATGGTACATTATATAAGTTATACGATAGCGTCCACCTGTAGCCCAAGGATCCTACCGTTAACACCACTTTTTCCACACGCCATAGCAAGGAAGCCTGAAAAGGTGGTTTGCGGCGTTGTCGAAGGGGTTTAGGGAACCATGCGACGAGATGCCGTGGCCGCCTGGAGCGACAGAAGACCACACTCGATTCGTATATTTGTGGGGTACATTATGCTGTGCTGAAAAAATTCGAGAGCATGATGGTGCTTGAACTGGGGGTCTCTAATTGACGGTTTTATGTGCTTTCATGAGTGAGTCAAATCACAACCCCTGTGCTGGAATTTGGAATCGCATTGGGCTTGCTTGAAGAGCAACCCAAAACTCTCGTAACTCTTTTGCATTACATTTAATTCGAACGCTTACGGAGGTGTCTTCCCCTCAAGCTGGCAAGAGCCCTGAGTCTTGAAAAAGCACTGTAAACCGAAAGCCTTCGAGTATCCTTTTTGGGGCATCAGGGATCCGGATAAACATACCTACCGGTAGAATTGCTGCTTCCGGAGCCTTTATCCAAAACGTGGCTGAGCGGGGAAGTGTGAAGGCAGCTAGACTCATACGGTCATATTCCTGGCGATGCCAGTGCTGATAAGTGTTATGCAATGATGAGAACCAACATCAACAGCCGTCCATCGTCAGTCATGTTGTGCATCATCTGTGCCACCATCACCATCATGGTCATTGCCAGAATCCTGGAGATACTTCGACCAAGATATTTGTGTGGCTTGCTGCGCATGTCACTCAGGACCCGGCTTGGCACATCGACTGAACCTGGAGGACGTGAAGGAGTGAGTAGATAGTAGAATGTTTCTATTGTTGGAGTTTCACTACTACGCTTTGGGTAAGTATCCCCCATGTGCAATGCACAGCTCTCGCTCAAGCTTAGGGCTAAGCTTAAGGCTCATAGTGCATTGGGCTTGAGGTGCAAATAAACATTCACAACAGGGTCACCTGAATTAAAACCATCCATTACTTGATTACTGTTCGTTTTCAGCGACCTTCAGACCAACCCTCATCTGCCCTCGGACAAGAAGAACAAACACCCTCCAAAAAGCCCACAAAGGGCTTCAATGCCACCTTTACCCGGGAATTGTGCAGCGTTATGTTTTAGACCAAGACCTCGCTATTCACAACTGCAGCAATCACACTATTAGGCCCTCTACAATCTGAGGAACATTCCGTTTAACCGCTTCGAAGCCGCTCGCAACACCGTCACAGGGGTCCGGAACCCTGTCAAACCCCGAAACAAGACCACTAAACACCCTGGAGTCGTAGAGGCCTCTTCACCAACTCCAATGCCGGAGATGGGTCCACCCCTCTCGCGATGAGCTCGCGCGTAACCTATGCTGGGTCTCGCTGCAGGCTTTAGGATTACAAGGTTTGCGCTCGATGTTGCGCTCTTGGGTTTACAGCTACTGGTAAAGGGGTCTTTCGCTTTACAAAGAGTAGACTTGGGGTTTTGAACTTAGCGCTTGTATCCTAGTGCTTGGGATCCAAACATTAGGGTTTATGGAGTTTAAGGATTTAAGACATTTGGGTAAGGGGTCTGCAGGTTAAGCCTTACAAGCCCGAACATGTGAACCAACTACATGCTCTTCCGAGTGTTCTACCCGGGTTTACGGATAGAGCGACTACAGCTAAAATACAAACGTAAACCCACTTAGAATCACAGCCGTGTTCTCATTCTTAAGTCGTGCTTCCTGAGCAGCGCAGAGAGTAAGTTTCAGGCGAGTCTTTCCCGCTTGCTGCAAGTATGGTAACAAATATGTCCAAAAAGATTCACAGAAACCGTCAACAAAATCCTTCCGTAAGCCCCTTGGCTGCTCAAGGAAGCCTTCATGTTTGCATCTCTGGCTGGGACAGGGGCCTTAACGAGTGCAGAAGTTGTTTATTCGGTCACAGAATTTCAGGACTAAGAGGGTATATTGAGCTGTTTATGCCGACCCCGACACTGAAAGGCGCAACTAGTTTGGCTTGAGGTTGGCACCGGAGGTAGGAGTCGGAGGGAGTTAAAGTTATACTTCTGCTGCAAGGTCTACTAGAACTTTCCCTGGAAGCACACCCAAACCCTGAACCCTCGCAACCTGCGTAGTAAGTTGTTGACTGATAGAACCATGGTGCGGGGAACCTGACACGATCATATGCATGATTTTAAACCTAACTGCATAACCCTGAACCATGAACACTGCACCCTAACAGACCGTAAACCGTGATAAAACCTCAACAAACAAACCCCTCAAGCACTAGACGCTAAGCCCGCAAGCTTAAGCCCTAGCTCTGCTTCTGTAGTCCGCACCTCGAGCTGGTTGAAAAGAGCAGCCAGCTTTATGGGAGTCATTCCATCCTCGTCGGCAGCCTAGACGAACACTGAAAGCAGGTTGCTCCTCCTTCCTCTCATCTGTCTTCTTGTAGCTACGGGTTATACGGGTATACCCCATATTTAAATGGACAGAACCGACTTTCTGTGGCCTGTCGTTCACAGGTTCAGGCTCGGGCGTGCGTTTTGGATTGTCTTCTGCATTGGGGTTGTGAGGTTCAGGTTCAGGAGATTGCGTCCCTAGAAGTATAAACTCTAGATAAGGATAGCCATTGTGCAACACAAAAAACACTCAAGCGGAGGTTCCAGCAGGAATCACCAGGACACGCCCGGCTACTGATAAATTCCGTCGTTTAAAAACAACTCCAGCACAAGGCATATGCTCCGAAGCCTGAATGTTGGCGCCGGCATCCAGGAGCATAATCACCTGGTCCAGTGTTGCAGAAATGAGGTTGCTTTAAACCCTAAGGCTCACTTAGTAGCAACGGTGAACCCCAGACACCTTGTCAGCCGTAAGTTTAAGCAGTCGTATGCCGGAGCAAGGAGTAAACGAACTCTGTTACATGAACACGCAGAGAATACACGAAACGTCCCTAAACCGAAAAAACCCAAGAGGCCCTCCCAAAATCTGCACAACTCCTGCCACATGAATCCCGGACACACCCGCACCGCCTGCTGAAACAGCGAATCACCACAACATCTACAACCTCAAACCTCGATACTCCCTCTCGTTCAGCACATGGCACTCCTGAAAGCACTCAACCCTCAAGCCCTGCAGCCCCTCAACCTGCATCAAACCCCTTGCGGAACACCTCCACAGAACCCGATCATAAACCCCGTACAGATCGTTTTAAAAGAACCTTATGACAAACCCATCATTACAGCACCCTTTGGAGCACCCTCTGATACACCACTGACTAAGCCCCTTTTATGAACCCGCATACAAACTCCTTTGGAGCCCCAAAAAAACAGCACCTTGTTAGAGAACCATTCTGGAGTGCCTTTAACAACCTCGGTATGTGTAGATCCAAGGGCCCAAATCGCCTGCACAAGGCAGGAATATTGTAAGCCCCAACACCCGCCATGGGTGCGTCTGCCGGCTACGCGCAAGCAGCGCATAGCGGCAAGTGTGCTATATGCACAAGCTGGGCATTCAGGTTTTGCCGTCACCCGACATGATGGCGAACATGGACGCAAAAGTCACACTGTGTAAGGTAACTTTGTTGAGCATTCGTTCGGACGACTTGCTCGCAGACTACACAGCAGATGCGTTTGCGACTGGCTTCAAGAAGAGGCCGGCTTTTCAGCTGCGCGGCATCAAGCAGAACAGAGGCTCGTCATGCGAGAGAGAGTGGATCACCAAGCGGCAACCTGGCAGCTCATGCCTTTCACCTATTGTGATGGTGTTTATGGGTTCGAAGGACATGCTGTGCAGAGCGGCCATATTGAACACGGGCTGGGAGGACACGCTCGCACCTTTCACCATTAAGGAGTCTGCGACTGGCTTCAAGAAGTCGTTGGCTCTCCAGCCGCACGGCATCAAGCAGAGCACAGGCTCGTCAGGAGAGGGCATCTGCACCACCAAGCGGCAACCTGGCAGCTCATGCACTACACCCGATGCGATGGTGCCTATGGGCTCGAAGGACATGCTGTGCATGGTGGCCATGATGAACATTGGGGGTGTGGAGATGGTTTGGAGGACACGCTGGCACACTTCACCGTGGCGGCTGGCCTCAAGAAGACGCGGCTTTCAGCTGCGCAGCATCAAGCAGAGCAGAGGCTCGTCAAGCGAGGGCATCTGGATCACCACAAGGGTTGGAGGACACGCTCGCATACGTCGGTAAAGAAATTCTGCGGCTGCATGATGACGTTGGCTTTCCAGCAGCGCCCCATCAAGCACAACAGAGGCTCGTCAGGCCTTCGCTCCAATGATGCTGACTCCGCTATCCTGACTTAGCTGTTCTTGATTATATAAGTGAGTGATGTTGGAACGCTTTAGATTTGCGTGTGGAGGTCCAGTGGCCTTCATGCTATGGTTGAGTTTGATGTCCCGATATCACCTCGATGAAGGTGTTAGACATCCTGGGTATTGTAACCGTGTAGGAATGGCCTCATTTGATACCCATGAGGAAGATCCTGCACCTCTTAAGGCCCGATATGTGGATCGTATCATGTTTGGTGCTTTGATCGCCGGTTATGGAATACGAAGCACCTTTTGTTTTTGCCGTGCATTTTCAGGCATCGTCCATGCGCCATCGTTTTGATTTTGTTGGAGGAGCGGGACAGCTTTTCCTTCGCTGGCTCAATCCCGTTTCCTAGTGCGAGTCCATACTGGTGACAGTCAGATTACTGGTCCGCACTAAGCAACTCAATTAAGTGCATGCCAATGGGCTGCGTCCGACTCGGACTCTACGCCCCAAAAGCGAGAAAAAAAAGCGATGTGTAGATCCCTTTATAGAAACCGGAAACCGTTTAGAGAACCCGACTTTAAACCCCTTGCAAAGCCCAACCATAAACAAACCCTAAACCCAAACCCTAAGCCGCCCCTGAAAGCAGAACCCCACGCCCGAGATCGAAGACCTCCTTCTTGTAGCCTTCCTTGGCAGCCCAGTGCCTGAAGCTTCAGAATTCATGTTTTTTTTGTTGAGACGCGGGGGGGGGGGGGGGGGCTCTGTGAGGGCTTCTACAAAGCCCCCAGGGTTGGGACTTGTGGTTTGGGGTGCTTTGGGTCAATTGCAGGCCGACAGACGTCTATGGACTATAGATCTACTACCCGGACCCCTAGACCCTAACTCCCCCAAAGTTAACCCTAAAGCCAAGGGGGTCCCGAGGATAAGTCGTAAGGCTGAAAGCTTTGAAAAAAGCCTTACAGTTTAGGGATGTTTAGGGGCGGGTTTAGGGTTTACCTATAGACCCCAACTACACGCTGACATACCTTGAATACCCATGCGTAAAAGCTGCATTACAGGGCACTTGGCGGGGTCCTGGTAGGGGTTTAGGGTTTATATGAACCTTAAACCCTCAAACCCTTAATGTAGGGCCTGAATAAACAGGATAGGGTTTTGGGGTATATCTATGATTATAAGAAGGAGCCCCGAAATTGTATAGGTACTTATTAAGTCTCCTATATCAGAGTTTGCTGTCCTGGATCCTGAAGCCAAGCTGCAGGGGAGTGAGCCCAGCTCGGTCAGTGGCCTGCAGCAGCGTGAGACAACTTTGCGCTTCGGGTTTGGAGCTACAGCAGATTTCCAAGGGTTACTACAAGGGTTCGAAAAGGATCTTTAGGGTTTGGGGGTTGGGTGGTTTAGGGCTTAGGGTTCGGGGTTTACAGGATTTCGGGCTGGATACATCAAGAGCTTTACAAGGTGGAGTCACCAGGTGGAGATAGATAGATACTTAGATAAGTTCAGACATAGATAGCTAGACAGGCAGACAGATAAGTAGCTAGCTAGCTGCTAGATAAATAGATAGAAACCAAGATTGCTCGATAAAAAATTGATGCGGGCCTGTGCCCCAAACAAGCCAGAAGACCTTTCCAGACAGCACCTGATCTACCAAAACACCCTCAGTCCGCTATCTGAAGCCCTGCGCAACGGTACCTGGTAATGGGGCCACACGTACACCCGAAACGCTAGACCCTCGTAGTCCAGTCTGAACACGTTTTCAGCCTTAGTCTTCTGCTCGTTTAGGACCCGTAGTCAACAGGGTGCTCGAACCCTCCACAACCCCACTAAACCCTACACCAAAGGCCCTCTAGCCCTCCTCTAGATTAGACCCTAAACGGTAAACCCCTCTAAACCCGAAACCCAAACCCCAAACCCCTAAGAACCCTCCAAAGCCCAGGCCGAAGCCAAAGAAAAAGCACTCCCCACCTCCACCTCGGCTTTCCTGACACGGCTCGAGGGTTTGGGGCAAAAGGGCTTAGGGTTTAGGGGCTTAGGGTTAAGGTTTTAATTAAGGGCTTCAGGGTTTGGGGTCTCAGGCTGCTTGTTGAGGGCTTAGGTTTTCTGGGCTTAAGGGCTCCAAGGATTGCAGGATTTTCGACAATTAGGCACTTCGGGACCGGGGGAATCTGGGTTTGAGAATTTCGGGCATCGGGCTTAGGACTCAGGGGTTCAGGGTTTAATTGGAGTTTAGACTCAGGGATTCAGGGGTGGTTGACGGTGGCTTGGCGTTTTGGAGTTATGGCTTCACGATGCCTAAATTTCAGCATTGAGGTTTACCTGTAGCCCCAAACCCTACTGCAAATCAGTCGGATATGCGCCATGACCAAAGGTATTGATAGAACTGCAAAAGCAAGCACCCTGAACAACCTCAAACACGCAAGTGTAACACTGCTTCTGAAGCGCTCGCTGACTGCCTTCAGGCAGTGCTTGGGATGGTCTTTGTCAGGTTAGGGCTTTAAAGCATTGTTGGAGGCGACGTCTGTAAGCTTGCAACGAGGTCAGACTGGAGGTCTAAACACATTCCCGAACTGTCGATCCCAGATGCATAAGCCCCATAAACCCTGTAAACGACCTTCGAGATACCCAGATCCAGACATTCTAACATCTCTGGTGAGACTGATGTTTTCCCTAGCCTTAATAAAGCCCCCAAACCCCTAAAACCCAAACGTCCCTAAAGTCCTAAAGCCTGCAACCCTAAAGCTGGACCCCAATTCTCAGCCCAAGCTTCCGCTCAAGGAGAAGCTTCAGCACTTCTGACCTGGGGAAAGGGGGGGAGGGGGTAAGAAAAGGCGTCCTCTGTGGTGGGATTGTGGAGTTTCTGGGGTTCTCATAGCCAGGACACTTATGGTCATCGATTGAAGATTCGCGGCTCCGGCGTGGGAGTTTAAGGCATCAGGCACGCATACAATCAACAAGCATATCAGGGGCGACGGGTAGCTTCTGAAGGGCCCGCTATGCGCCGCCTTCGACGCACGTCAAACTTGAAATATGGAGCTTAAAACATTGATAGTAGCTTGCACTACGACCCATAGGCCCCATAGCAGTTACTTTTTGGGATTACTTCATAGAATTCTATATATGAACCAACTTTGGGGCCTATGGGTATACACTATCCCTTGGCTCCTGGTAATCAACATACTATATACAGTATACCCCAAGAACTGCTCAAACGGTCTTGCGGCAAGGATGACAGGCCCAGCGCTCAGCAGAGAAATCCACGCAAGTTCAACAGCCCTGGGTAAAAAAAACTCTCTGTCAAAACCTTCCGCAACAAAAATCTGTCGATTATCATCGTGCTGACGAGATTAGGTATCAACGGATGGTCACCGAAGCTGATTGACTGCGGGCCTCAATTGGTTGAGAATATCACGCTGAATATTGAGGCTCCAAGGAAATGAGATACTCAGCGTGTAATGTCGGCAAGACTGAAAAAGGGCTTCCTGGCATAATTAATGTCGCAGGCAAACAAGCGATCAGGGCGGCAGATCGCAATTTGAAGACTCACTCAAATACTGCACTCGCCTCCCGGCTGCTGATGCCAGAGCCAAGACCGTTCGCCCGGCCTGGAGATCAAACGCAAGCCAGGTTTGGGCTCGTCTTGTAGCTTGTGGCTCCGAGCTTCTACAAGTAGTTCTGTTGTGCTTTGATTCTCCCTCTGCTTAGGGAGGGTGTAGGGATTGAGGGTCGCAGGCTTCAAGGCTGAGAACTTGCCGGATGCTTTGGGGAAGAGTTCTAACTGCGGGCTTGGCGATTTCGAAGCAGAGCCCCTGAAACAAAGATATCGGCTTATGAGGTACCGGGGGAGCATGGCTGAGTAAGTTCTGCGTGTGGCTCCAACCAAGCACTTGCAGACTACAGTTACAGTTTTAAGGGTTCTACACTGCTATGTCGGGGAATTCCTCTCACTGGCGCTGGGGCCAGCAAATGACGCTGAATGGTGTGTTCGACCTTCTTGCTCAGTCTAAATCGTGAGACCTATAAACCCCACATCACATAGCCAAACCCCAAACCTTTACTGTTCATGCTAAACCCATACTAAATCACATCGCCAGGGAGCCTAAAGGCCAGGAGGTCGTGCCAAAGAAGCCGCTGCAGCCCAAACCCTCTACAGCATAGGCTCAGTGTTTCAGAGGCAACATAAAAGCCTAAACTAGCATAAAGATTGGTGGTTATGGTATACTATAGCTATATAGTTTATACCAGTAGGGAACCCTGGCGAAGATCATTGGCACTGTAATTATTTCGACCCCTCCAGTAAGCAAAGCGCCAAAGAACTCGGAGGCCTCGTCCCGATCTTCTTTCTCGGCACCCTTGTCGAGAAGCTTGCCTCTTTGGGATAGGGTTTAGGGTTTAGGGTTTTTGGGAGATCGAAAATGGTAGTCGTAATATTATTAGAATCGAGTCTTGGGGTATAGTATAAGACAGGCGTAGTAGGACACCTGAAAACAAGGTTTATTTTAGTGTGATCCTAGATCCCTAAACGCCGAACCCCTAAGCCCCAAACCCAAAACCCGAAAACCCGAAATCCCTGAATCCTAAGCCGTGCCTTCAGCTGGTTGCTGCAACTACGCAATCCCCAAATCCCGGATTCGAGTCGAGGGTTTGAGGGTTTAGGTTGTATCGGCTTAGGGTTTAGGGTTCTAGGGCCTTGGGTTTTTGGAATGTTTTGGGTTTTAGGCTTTCAGCATTGGAAGTATGCGGTTTAGGGTTCAGGTCTAGGGCTTGAGGATATTAAAGAAATCGAAAAGTCTCCGAATCCGGGGACTGTGTTTTGCGGCTCCTTCTATCCCAAGGCCCCACGGTTCTCAGGTACACAAACAGCAGGTCTGAAACCTATGAAAAATGCCTATGTTGGACTATTTTGAGAACCCCCGGATGTAGTGAGGACCTGGCTAAAGCCCAGCAATGCCCTCTCACACTCTCTAAGCCCTGAAGAAGACTTATACT